CGCGATGCGATGGCTGAAAGCCAAGACCTGCAGAAACAATATGCAGATGAAAAAGGAAAAGGCAAAGTGGAAAGCTTTAAGATCGGGGACCTGTTTTTATTAAATTTTAATAACCTGCCTACACATGCAGCATTTGCTATCTTCAGGGCGAGGATTCGTTCACGGTCTGTCGGACCGTTTAAGGTTGTGGCCAAGCGGGGCCTAGAGTACACGCCAAACCTCCCAAAACGGATGCGCACCTACCCGGTGTTCTACGTGGGCTTGCTCAAGCCGTTCCGGGATCCGGCGCAAGTGAACGCGGAAGCGCTGGCACCGGAGCGGATCCCACGGGCCCTCGGCCACCCAGAAGCAAAACCAGCAACTGGTTCTGAGCACGGAGTGCAACAAGCTCCATTTCCAATGGAGCCAAGCCTTCCACCGTTGCTTGCAGCGATGCATCCCCCTGCCCCTCGGCTAGGATTCGCTCCGACAGAGAGCGTTAGGCCTCAAGGCAAGGCAGCCGGCGCACGACGCGCCTTACATCGTCAAGAGCATTCTCACAGCGATATGCTACTTCAGCATGACGCTCAGTGGAGCTCCGATCACGAAGGACCTCGTCCTCAAGGGCTCGAAGAGCATCACGAGTCACCGGATGGCGGTCGACCCGGTCGTCACCGCCCCCACCGACTCTTCTCTATGAGAACGGTGACGTCCACTATCACGTGGAATGTCTTGTTGGACGACGTCGTCAACAGGGTCAAACCCAATATCTGGTGAAGCGGCAGGGATATCCCGACTCCGAAAACTCGCGGGAGTTTGAGGCGCCACTTGGCAAGATTGCCCAATCGCCGTGGACGCTTTTGATCAGGACATTCCGCGTCATCAGACGCCCCGCGGTTCTCGGCAATAACCAGGGAAGTAGAAGGACCATGAGCTGAGCTCAAGCAGTATTATTATAGTTCTGTTTCACGTCACTAGACCACTTATGTAGCGGAATTTACCACCAACCCACTTTTCCACTTACGTGGGTCCATTCTAATTCTTAGGGGTGTGACTCGCTGATGCGATAAAAAACGTCTGAATTCACTGAGTAAGGCGCGCAAAGTGTCAGACCGTATATCGTGCAGAATCCCTTTGAATGAGAAGTTGGTAAGCGAGTTGCGAAGCTCATCTGTCTCACATCCAACCAGCAAAAAATCTGCATCTATGTGTTCGGAACGTGAATCGTCGAATCTGTCTTGGTACAGCACCTTGCAGTCGTTGAAAACCATAATCGCGTCTGAACAGAATTTTTATACACTCTCAAAAACAGGATTCAAACATTAAGCATTGATAAGCCCATGGTGGTCATGGTCGATTTGAATCTGTGAACAGCCGGCCCGCTGAAGCTGCAGAGCATACTGGTTGACAAGCTCGCTGAGCACAGCCGTACATACCTTGACCCGAGAATGATGCAGGACTGGCGGTAAAGGCACCGGAACGCATATTCTCTGAGTTTTGGCAGTCTCCGCGACGGACGTGACTAACAGACGCAAATTGGCTTCAGCAACATATCCTCACAGACTTATGACAAATCATTTTCATCTCGCCAGTAAGATTTTACTGCCCTCGAAGGTACGCAAATAACCCAAAGTTGTCACGAGAGTACCAGCTTTTTGTCTGGGTGACAGGTAAATCTGGTGGAGATCGCGGTGCGCACCAAAGAGAATGTCACTAACTGCTCGAATCAAATTCGCACGCCCAGAATTTATCAAACAAGGTTTGCTCGCCGTCCATACAAATGGACACGATCCTGCTCTCTCTCTGCCGATGACCCTGGCCCATCTCTCAAAGTGCACAATCTCAAGGTGACACGTGTACACATCTCAATGCAACGGAGTCGTAAATAAATGTGCGTGCGACTTTCGCTTGCGCTTAGCGCTAGGTTTCACCTCCCGAACAAACCACCAAGCTCTAGCACGTGACCACTTGCATCACACCTATTGTCTCGCCGCACTCAGTGACGACCAAGCCTAACCGAGCCTCGTGACCACCTCGAAAGGGGTCTGCAGGTCTTTCTTGGGCATCGCAACGCGCGTCGGCTGACACAACGGAGAGTTGCAGCAGGGTTACAGCTGGGTTGACCCGATGATGGTGGGACTTTTTAGGTTTTCAGTGGTGCGACTCTGGGATAAATACGCAAATTCCACGACTACACATCACCGTTCAAGAGTATAACAAAATTAATATGAATAATTTATTTAGAATTATTTGACTGATGAATTCTCTAGATTTGGTAAAAACTTCCGGTTATCAATATTTTACGCTGTCACGATTCGATTTCAACCAGCGCAACAAATGGAGCAAGTGACAGAGAGCATTTTGTCGTCTAGCTTGCCCGAGACCAGTGATGATTTGGCCTTTGATATGGAGATACGCCTTTGGCGCTTAGAGGTTGCTCTTGCTGCGCGGAAATTGTTGTCGCTAGGCCGCTCTTATGAGGTTCACTTCACGTTGCCTCGCGGTCCGGTGTTGAATTTGCAGCTACTGACGCACTTTGGATTTTCGGTCTTTGCTCTTATGAATTCGCACGTGTTCCAAGTGCAAAAAATTGGGAATTCTCGGTATCCAATGGAGTTTCTGGACAAAGTAGCGGGTAGATCTGTCGCCCCTATCTACACAATTGAACCGGATGACTTTTTCGTCGGAATGGACGTTCATGATTTTCTTCTCTGTCCTCGTAAACTCAAGCAGCTTCACTTTGACGTAGCTTCTATAGGTGAAGATATTGTAATCAAGAAAGAGCACGATGAATGTACAAGTAGGACAATCGCGCTTCGTTTCATACGCATGGGGAACTCTATGCAACCTGATCTGAGGATGGGACGTACACCAGGAAGAATTTTGCGTGTGCTTGATGAGATTACAATTTGTCATCAGCAGCTTGTAAAACGGTATGATGTTATGATTCAACAGGATCGATTGACAGTACAGCGACTGCACTCCGCAAAAAAGCTACTCATGTACGTGAAGATTATGACTGGAGATGCGAAAAACGTCTTGATGAAGGACAGAACATTTCAATTTATTGATTGCTTTCAAAAATGGTATATTGCAATCATAAATGAAGAAGAAGAAGTTGTTGATGTAGACAAGGATGGCGTCAATACTCATGAAGACAAGCTTAATCTGTCAATGAAGGACATGTTAGTCGATATGCGATATGAACGTACGAGACACGGTGACTACGACAATTGCAATGTCCCCTCAGCACCTGCATCCATCCTGCGTCACAAACGCTCACCATTACAGTTCTCGGGACCGTCATCTAGCATGACGAAAAAACGAGTCACATTTGCTGAAAAAACTGATCCAGGTGAAGTCAGTGTTATCACCAAACGTGATTCGACGCAAACCAAAGCTTCAGCTTCGGCCATCTTGCCTTCCCTACAGGCTGAGCGAAACCAAAAGGCTTCTAAACCCAAGAATTTTGGGGTGGAAGAAGGCCAATTGTACCTCCAGGCCTTATTTAGCCCAAATGTTGACATTGTGTCTTCTCTTAACGAGTTGGCAGTAGTTGTGCAAACTCTGCCGATTTCGACCATGAGCAAGGAATTTAAATTAACTGCGGGACTCAAGGTGCATACCCTTTTCCGCCATACTGGCATTTTGATACTGACACTTTTTTTATCAGCTTAGGCGCGAGTTACAAAAAACTGGTTCATCTCATTACATTGCGCGATTTCGCCTTGGCCATATATCATTTGATTGCTCTGGTGTTAGTGATCGAGAAGTTACGATTGGTGCGCTGTCGAGGCTAACGAGGGCAGTGAGTGAACATCAAAGGCTGTACGGTAATATGCTTTCTTACTTAAAAAGTCATTTTGGGTTTTGCAAAAACAATGATACCCGAAAAGTGAAGGATGCGACATTTAGTTATCTTGTCACTAAGAAAATAGTGTGGGTATGTTTGCCTTTTTACAATCTATGGATTTGTTCTTCCTTAAAACTGAATTAGATTTTTGTTGTGTGTAGTTCCATGAGCAATTTCATGAAGATATTGACAATGTTGTTGTGTGCGATATAGTTGCGCACATTCAGCAATTTCCACTTGTATGTAGACGAGGAACATCTCTTCCTAGCACGAAAAGTGAAGTAGTTGACGCGTTAATGGCATTTCTCATGAAATTGGTTGATCAATTTGAGGATAGCTTGCAGCAAGATCGCGCAAAACAGATTAAAATTGAATCTCAAACCGACCTTTGTGAAACTTACCAAGACATCGAGGCATACGAGCAGAATAATATTATTGAACTGGAGAATGAACATGGAAGTAAAAAGTCCGATGCTAGTAGGGTTGCAGAATTACGGTCTTTGGGAATTCTGCGTAAGCGGCACTATGCTCCCCGGGAAGCAGAACAATATGAGCGTGGTGCACCTCGTCCGCGTTTGTCATACTCTGATACGCAAATGTCACAATCATCTGAGAGGAGCTACGTTAAACAGCAGAAGGAGGGTACAGCGGCAGCAAACGCTACACCTTTGTTTGTGGAGGACCGAAGCGGTTCAGGATTGAACTGTGATGTACCATCTCGCTCTGAAGATGAAGTCGCGAAGGCTAAGTCAGAAATTTATCAAGAGCTATTAATGTTACTTTTTAAAGATCAAGAGAGAATTGTTGGTTTAGTCAGAGGAATTTCGTGGGATCTCAATGTGAAATCGAAAACGGTTATGGTATCGTCGAAGCTTACGGTAAATAAAATACTTTCCAAACGGCTGTTCATATTTAATTTATTGTGAATGATATGACAGATCTATCAAACTGTGACACGGCAAAATGATGGTCAAATCAAATGCATGCTCTGCGCATCCGAAGATGTGGTCGAGGCTTGTGGGGAAGGATCAGATCTAGACGATGCGAAGAATCAGGCGACTTTAGTTCTGGTCAACTCACTATATGGGATAATCCAGACTTGGAACACAATACTTGCAACATTCAATGATCGACTCAAGCAAACTCCAACTTCTTTGATGGCTGGCAACGAAACTCAAGCCAAGCATCATGAAAAGGTGCGTACACATTGGTAATTTTGTCAATGAGAATTATTAATTAGTGATGTATCGCGATTTTTTCCTCACGAGAACAGGTCTCATGTTTAGAAAAACTAGTTCCACCTCTATTTATGTATTTTATTAAAGTTCGCGACACACTTGTCATTTCCACAGCATGCATCAATGCGAGAGATGCAAAGCGTTCTGCCAACGAAAGATGGCGTGATATCCTGGAAACTTTAATCAAGATAAAATCCAGTCAAACTCTTTTATCTTCTTCAAGTGTGAATTCTGAAGCAAAAAGAAATTTAGCAGTGGTACATCCAACTTCGTCGAGTGAGACGCCCCTCACTCAAGTAAAAAAAACCAATCTGATACTTTGCAGTGATGACGAGATGGATGATGATGTCGATGACTATGACTCCGACGGGATGGACTGCGATGATTGGGATCCATCTGGAATAAAAACGACCCCAGATGCAGATAGTGCGAGCAAACAAACAAACGCATTCGAAAATGAGCTGAAAATGTACTATGATGAGCGCTCCGAGAACGATTGTACTGATGATGCCAAATTTCGCGCAGCAATTCGTAGTCTGTTTACACCTGAAGATGACCTGTGTGCTGGAATTGATAGACTACGAGCCTCGCTCAAATATCGTGGAGCTGAAAATGGACAGATTGTTCCCAATGTCACTGCAACTATAAAGATGGAACGTCTGCAAGAAGGCATATATGAAGTTTTTGTCAATGTTAATGAAGTCATTTGTTTTAAGGCATCGAAAGTGTCAAAGTCTGATGCTTGCAATGCTGCTGTTAATGGTATGCTTGACGAGTTGAACAAGATTCGGTCGGTCTGGGCACAATTACTTCATTTTTTGGACGTAAAATCGCTAGCGCATACATCACCAACTGATTCTTTCCACGATCTCAAGTTGTCGGGGATTGCAAGGGTAGGTTACAATATCTACGTAATACTCTCTGATGCAGTTCATTTAACGTGCCTACGCCTTACCATGCCTCGTATTACCAGATTATAACTACGGTAGAAGACCCACCCGGCTTGACTTCAGCTCGGGACTCTGGCTCAGGCGCTAGTATCCACTGCACCGTACGAGTAGATGGCTTTGTGCTTTGTCGGGCCACTTGGAGCTCAGAAATAGAAGCTCGTCGCTTGGCTGAGTGGAGAGCAGTGCAATTTTTAATTGATTTGATCGATTGTGGTCTTGATTCTAAGCCAACGGAGGGAGACGATGAAAAAATAAAGATTGAAAATGAGCTGCCCATGGTGAGCAGCTCCGTCGCATGGTCAAGCCTTGTTCGTATTCAGGATGCATCAAATTTTAACAACTTTCACGAATTTCGTGTTGAGGCATTCTGGTGCCGTACGCGCGATGGGATGGTACCTGAAGAGTTTCCACAAAGCCGACATATCGTGATCACACAAACGCGAACAATTGGAATGGAAAAAATGGAGAATGCAGTTCGTAACCTTCATGAATCGACGATGGCGTTTTTCCGCTTAGAGTCTGCGCATGATCATTGGAAGTTTGTGCGACAATTAGTTCGCTATTCAGAGAAACGAAAGCGAAACTCGCGAGCACTTGTGCTTTCAATCTCGCCTGCATGCCCGTACGATATGTATTTGATTCCGCCCGGAGCATCTGTTAATAGTGAAAACAACAATTATTGGCCGGAAAAGGCATTGCCACGCATTGGAGTTGATCGTAAGAGTGTGGTTGGTTTCGTTACAAAAAAGAAACTTGACTGATGTAGTCGTAAAAGGGATTCAAATTAATTTCTATTTTTTCTTACGTTCCTCAAGTTTAAGTGCAAAGTAAATTACTCATCATCATCATCGGCTTTGCCACCGTTGTGATCCATTCCCCGGTGCTTGGAAAGCATCGTGTTATGCTTTTCAACGTGGATCATCTCAAGGTATTCAGCATTGTGAATTTCAAACCTACGCCGGCAAATTAGATGACCAAACTCACCTTTCGTTTTATTGTCATTCAACTCGTGATCAAGAATCAAGTCCATGACTATGTCACACATTCGACGCACTTCAATATTAGAGGATTCAGCTACAAGAAGTAAGTCCGGCACAAAGCCTGCACCAAAGACGATTTCTTCAAAAGTTTCAGGATGCCTCAACATCCGATAAAATGCATAAAGCAGCTGCAATGTGAGCTCCCTATCGTGCTGTTTTTCTTGAAATAAAGAGTGCAGGGTGCGTATGAGTCGAGAAGATGACAATAAAGGAGCACACCGTGGTTCTAGCGCAAGCGCACTTACAAAGAGTACGACTTCAAGGATCATATCATCCTGTGAGAACCCTGGCACCAAAAACTTGTTTAAAAGTGGAATCAATGCGTGGTCCGTCACTAAAATGTCCCATGAAGTTTTCGACGAAAGATCATTCGGTGTCATGTTTGCTAGCGTTGCCAACACTTCAATTGAAAAGTCATGGTTATCGGTATTAAGGCATAGTTCGATGAAAGGAACGACGAATGGAGCCCACATGGCACGATATTTGTATGCCTTTTCGCTAACGAGATCCTCTTGCAATGTGTAGGACCACAGTGAAATATTTCGAATTACTTTCATCAATAGTAAATCGCGGGTGCGAAAGACACGAGTGGCGAGGGCTTCTAGTCCCCGATTTTGACACATGAGCTCAGCGTTGCGCGCATTGTGGCTAAGATTCACTGCCAGCGCTGCAAGCTCCTTCGCCACCACATTTTGTGGAAAATTTATCACCAACTGCATGACAATTGGAATCGCATCCGTATATGTAAACATAGACTTGCATCGGTCGTCAACGCTAAGATGGTAAAGAATTCGCAGTGAAAATGCTCGAAAAGGCGGCTTTTTAAGAAGCTCCACCAGCTTTGGAATGAGGCTATTTTTTACAAGCACTTCACGTATAGCTGGGTCAAATGACAAATTAAACAACAACTTTAATGCTGTTTGAATGGTCTTGTCGTGGTTACAATTTAGGTATCGCACCAGCTTTTCAACCACCATAAGCTCCACCATAGCATCTTTGTTTTCTTCAAAAATGCTTAATTTTTTAAGGAACGTGATAGTCAGGATGACCAAGTCGGGCGCTACTCGGTCCAGTAACTAGATTTTAATTCAGAAAATTTCCACGCAAATTGATCATTTGTAATTACAACTACAGCTTAAGCACACATACCTTAGTAAGAAATAGAACAACCTTCCGTTTGACCATTTTGTGCTCAGTATGAATGTCTTCTGCGAGGTTTAGCAGCACGCTAAAGCACACATTGCTGTAAAATTAAAATTAGAAAAAATACCTTCGTGACCACTGTGCCCACTAAACGAGGTACGCAATTCTTACAGCAATTGATCTTGTTTCCTCATGCGCCTATTGTTGCGCTTTTTCTCGCGATCAATCTTTGCTAGAATATCGTTCGTCGAGTTGGTATCTACATTTGAGACATCCTTTGCCGCGGCTATCAGCTGTTTTTCTTCTTCGAGACGAAGATCATGACGCTTTAGTTCAAACTCGACAATTCTAAGCGTTACAGTTCCGATTCGATAGTTCGCCAAAACGAGATGAAGCTGCAAAAAATTTGAAAAACACCAAAAGATACGCATCAATGTAAGTGAGAGGTCGTAACTCTTTTTGTATTCGTCATTCAGCACGCGGGAAAGCAGACTCTAAGCCGGCGATGCAAGCACAAAGTAAGCACAAGATGAATAATTTGATCAATCTCGACAGACCATAAGTGACTCGTCCTGAACAAGGCTTTCGATAAATCCAGCAAATTCTGCAAGCTGCAAAATCATTTTGGCTCCTTCTAGCTTAGATTCTACGTCATCATCATAAAGTTTTTCCATGTAGACATCTAACTCGCCCAATTTGGCCATGGATTTACGAGGAACCTCGCTCTTGACAACATGGCTCGATCCACGACTGGAACTGAGGCGAGAACTGCTCATGACTCGTGGTCGTTTTGAAAGTTGAAGCGACGTTGAAGCTTATTGACCACTAAAAGCTATTTGTGTAAGGATTGGTAATTTATTAAGGTAAATGACATCTTCTCGATTGGTGCATCGCACAGCTGCGTTTGTAGAGCAGCAGCTCAAGACAAACGACGCATCACACGACTGGCACCACATTGAACGCGTATGGAACATGGCGAGAATGCTGGCAAAAGAAGAGGTTGGTGCATTAAGTGTACCATTTGCAGTTGCTGTATTTTGCTGTTAAGGCATAGTGTGCAGTGTGTGTCTGAAGAGGATCTTGAAATTGTCGACTTGGCAGCTTTGCTCCATGACATTGATGACTGGAAGTACGAAAGTAATAAGGAGAATCCTACAAAGAGAGCACTTGCTTTTTTAAAGTCGGAGAGTGTTCCAAGTAGCAAGATTGAACGTGTGATGGCCATAATCGATAGAATGGGATTTAAGGAGGATTTAGAAGAGAAGGGACCGGTAGGGTTCCTACCTTGCTATTTTCGTTGTCAGTTGGTCTCACAGTGAGCTCACGTGTTAGCAATTGTGTTCAGTTGAGTATGGCTGTGTCCAAGATGCTGATCGACTGGTACGTTGCTTACAGTAAGTTAAATTTGTGACAAAGAAGTCAACGTTGATTAGGATGCGATTGGAGCGATTGGAATCGCTCGCTGCTTCACTTATGGAGGACACAAATTGCGACCGCTTTACGATCCGAGAATATCTCCCATCGAAAATATGACCAAAGAGATGTACATGGATGCAAATCGCCCAAATACTACCATAAACCATTTTTACGAGGTAAGAAGATTGACAACCGCTTGACAACAACTTTGGGATAGGAATTTGGGCGACTTACAGTGTTCACCGCTTTACAGAAGTTACTGAAGCTTCGTAGCATGATGAAGACGAATGCGGGAAAGCGTCTGGCTGAAGAACGCCACGCTTTTATGGAAACATATCTGGACCAATTTCACAAAGAAATTAGTGGTCGAGGCTAGATTTGGTATAGCGTGAATTCATAACATGATGACAAGGGCCGCTTAAGTTTTCGTTTTACGATAAATTGCTGCTTCAAAAGTAATTGTTTCGCTTACTTCTCTCGCTTCCAGCACTACAGTTTGCCTTCATCCTGGAGGCCACCCTAACTTGCGTCCGCCAAGAAGGTGCAAGTGCAAATGGAACACAGACTGGCAACCATCGACGCCGTCGTTTATGACAATGCGAAAGCCATTCTCCAGGTTCTGTTGCTTGGCAACCAGCTTGGCTGCATATAGCAGGTGACCTAAGATGGCTTGGTGACGTTCCTCAGCAAGAGCGAGCTGTGAAAGTCCATCTCGCTTTTTAGGGATAAGCAAAATATGTACAGGCGCCTGCGGATTTACGTCGTGAAAGGCCAGGCACTTTTCGTCCTCGTACGCGATCTTGGCGGGAATCTGTCCATTGATAATTTTATCAAAAATGGTTTCGCATGCAGAGACAGAAGATCCGGAGCATGCTGCTTCGTCAGCTTTGATACGTTCGTTTGAGCTCATGCCGCGGGATGTATTTGGGGCAAGTGGGTGGCGCAATAGTGAAGATCGATATGCTCGGCGGACTACTTGCATTCTAAAGGATAGGTGAAACCTTGCAAATCTGTTTTGTGTTTGTAATGTTCTCCTGATTACCTGTGTATGTACACATTACCCAATTGTCGACATAACAGGCTTAGTACTCGGTAGTCCTTATAGTAGACTTGCCTCACGTATATTTACAGTGATGTATTTTGTACGGCGAGTCTCTACGCCTTATTCACCCCGACGACTTGTCTCATGTTGATCGCAGGCAACATCGTCAATTCCTGCCGAAGTGAGGTAGTGGAAGCTGGAAACTTCGTTGATGTGCCGATCAGTCATAGATTACACTCACAGCGAATACAGCATATATTTCATCGGCGCTGCTCCAATTTGGACAGTTTCAATTGGTCATACTTGAAGTGCTTCTCCACAAAATCGCCCCGTTCGCCACCATAACCTTGATCCCATTCTGACTGTCCCCTGCTAAACCTTTAGCGCGCGTTTTGCCATCTCCATTCTTCATAAATCGCAAAGCAGCTATCCTTCGCCTCGATGAGTCTCACATTTTTGTCTTCTCCAGTGTGGCTACGATAAGCACGTACTCTGGTGTAACGGGGTAACACGAACCCTGAAAACAGGGGTGTGTGTGTCACACGAGATGTGCTTGGTGTCACCACACCAAAACAAGAGTACGCTACGGGGATAGGTAGCCAGTAGTTATGCATGTATTTAAATTTTACTAAATATATTTAGTATATTTAGGAAAATCTAAACTTTTAAAATTAGATTAAGAAAATAAATAAAATCCAGAGGCGTTTTCAAGTTACGAAAACGCGCTGCTAGAGCACCTCCAGCAGAAGATGCCTGCATCATTTACATCTATGGCGCCACCGTCGGTGACGGAAGATTTTTCCCGCCTTAAGACGCCCAGGGCGAGCGTTAAGGTCTTTAAGGGGGAAGATGGAGAGAATCCCCTGCTCTGGGTGAGAGAGGTCGAGATGGCCATCGCATCCGCCATGCTCCAGACCAAGCAACAGCGCATAGCGCTAGCCATCTCAAAGCTCGGTGGTCGAGCGCGAGAATAGGCACTGACGTGCGGCTCTTCGGTTGAAGCTGCGTTTCCCTCTTGGGCGAAGCTGAAATCGCAGCTCCCACGAGTGTTCTCACCACCTAATCAGGCATATCGCGTACGATCGCGCTTCCTTGCCGCCTGGCAGGGCAACAAGGATTTGGTGGACTCTGTCCAAGAGATGCGCACTCTCATCGCCGGGATGGGGCGATCTATAACCCGAGGAGCACCCGCGCTTTTCACTTCACAAATGACAATCTATCCCTCCACTTACTTGTCGCTCTTGACTGTTCCCTAGTGGATTCATCACACGTAAGTACTGACTCACTAGTACCGTCACATCTTGACACAAAATGTAGCCTTCATGTGATCTTTAAATTCTGACCCTATTAAAGCGACTTGGTGTCGCCATTAACAACAAATGACCTTTGACATGAGGGGCAAGGACTCCCATTCACCTCGCTTATCTATAGGCCATGGCATAGAAGGACTCGATCATAGCAGTTCTTTACCACCCCACCAGAGTTACACTCTGGAGATCACGTCATACAATCGACCTTTTTCATCTTAACCGATATACACTCTAAAGACAGAGATTCCCTTTACTGTAACAACCTGAGACCTCGGCTCATTGCCGCTTCTGCCTGTAGAGCTCTGCTCGAGGCACCTAGCAATACCATCGCTATGGGCTTTGGACGGAAACTCTGGCAGCTTCACGCTTGCGATAAAAGCGTTTCTACTTCCCTTTAGAGGTAGATACATGATTTGCCAAAACCCCACCAGGTGATATTGAAATTACCTTTCATGGGATATAATCGACCCATATCTCGCGACATCTTAGCCAAGCCTTACCTAGAATAAGACTTTATACTATGTTTCAAATTTCACTAAAAGTTTTGACAGACATGTTGACACTTTAACCAGTTCATCAGTCGCAAACGCACAGATACCGTATTCATATCTTGACGTCTTCAGGTTTTGTCGGCTGTCTTAATAGTCGCGCGCCGTATGTGATTGCAGAGTTTTACACGGCCTTACTATGCCCGGGACGTTAATTCAACAACCGATAACCCTGGGGTGTGGGTCCCACTTTCTTGAAAAATGGCTTATTTCACGGCTGTTTTTCGATGAGACTAACCTGTTCCTCTACCGACACCCAAATCAAAGTTGGCAAACGCCTCTAGACAAGCGGCCATTAACCTCCAGCTCCTTGCTACCGTCGGGACCCGTGATAGACGAAGGCTTGTAAAGCTGATATATTTGCTCTAGGAACAGGTATCCGAACACTGAATGCTCCATCGCCGGAGACTATTCAATCCCATGTCTTGACCGTGTATCCTACAAGTGCAACGGGGCTGCCGTGCATTTGCATTTTCTTATGAGGTCAGTTAGCAAAGGTATTACGACTGATCTTGAGCGCTTCACCCAGATGCGATATTGAGAGCCTTTAATATAATAAGGTGTCCAGTAAAGTCTAGTATATCAAGATTACATAGATTTGAATCAGTTTTATTTGGACTAAAACTAAATAGATACGACTTTAATTATCATGATGAAATTTTGATTAAATGACGTGCGGCTAACAGACTACGTGTGCATCGGGTCCCTCTTTTTCAGTGCTACTTCGTTCTCATGAAATTGTTACGTCGGTGCTTCTGAACCAAATACACTTAAGTGCAATGTCTCGCCAACTAGTATTATATCCAATCTGATTGTACCAAATGTGCCCGATGTAAGTACGGAAGATCACAGTCTTACCCCGTTTTAATAAGTATAAAATTTTTTTAAGCATGAAAAACGTTTCAGCAGAGGTGTTTTTATCAGCAGGTTCATTATGAATTGATCATGTCCCCTTCAAATCGTATCAAAATGGAACGTGTTTGATATCGTGCCTGTGGGAGCGACCGCCACCTGATTTTGCGCTACATCCAAATACCAGCACACTTTCGCTGTCATTTGTGACACAGAGCTTGGTAAAGCGTCAGCTGAGCTCGATCTTTTTCAGGTTAAGTTTGACGCATTTGCAGCACCCTCCTGCACAGCAGGTTCTGACTTCAATAATCCGCATATAAATAGCATCGCTATTCAGACCGTCTGTTCCGACCTGGATCGTAACCGAGAGTCCCTATCCAACTACGTACTTATTTTGCTGTTCTGCTTTGAGAATTGCATCTAATTTTTGGCATTCAGTTTCAGCTAACTCAAAATATATACATTCTATTATACCTAACAATAATGCTATCTAAATTGCTTGACGCAAGGCTAACAACTCATGGACACACCGATCTCATTTTGGCGGAGCCAGATCATCTTTATTTTTCCCAATAATTTGAATTCTCTGGTTTCTAAACTATATCACCAAATTTTTATATCAACTTTGTATAAAGATATTTGCATAAGCTTACAGAAGAGTAAGGCGAATGTTTACAATAGTAGTATTCGTATCACGTTGCAGCGGCATGGAGCGGTGTCGATAAATTCTGGAGGATTTTCATCCCCCCAGGGGAAGCAAGTCACCGCTGTCAGAAACATCTAGCGGCCGAAAAACCATCGTCCTCTGCTACTCAAGCTGCACTCTGTATACCTTTGAAGTGCGTCTTAGAACGAGGATGCTCACGGCTATCTTTTCAGCTGTAAATTTCCGAAAAATTCGAGTTTTGCCGGTCATGCTCGCCCCACCTAGTATCAGACGGCGCTGCTTGAAAAGCCAAGTCCATGCAGGCGCTACGCTGGAGAGCATGATGCACCGTGTCCAATAACTGAGTATATGTGACGGGGTGCACTCCGCACTATATTCTAAAGACGTTCACCTTACACTATTTTCGTCACTAATGCTCAGACCCAAAGCCAAGTGCAAAAATACCAAAGCACCACGATGAATTATAACTACCAGCACTGGTACTTTCAAGGAGGATGATACGTAGGTTTGTGTGCTGCCAGCTCAAGCAATGCAGTACATCGATACCGCATTATGAATGAGAAAATTTGATTGGAAATAGAATAGCAACCCAAGTGGTTACTTTTTTGATAGATTTTGGTCCCGAGACGACATGACGACAGGCGATCAAAGCTCCGAAAGCGCAAATGATTTGCATAGAGCGATAATCGATTGGCTCGATGCGCTCGCTAGCTAAGTAAATACGATAGCGAAACACCTTTTCAAACATCTCCATCAAGCGTCAGAACTTGCTTCTACTTAGGACCGCGTATGTTAAGCCAATCATTTGACGGAAGATTTGGAGGACACTTTGGTCTTGCAGGAGAGAAAATGAATGCTAATGACTTGATCTGGCCATGACCAAGATGATCCATCGGAGCTTGCACGATAATGCATTTTTGTAAGCAGTACCTCTATAGATAAGGCATCCCCTAGTATGACTGGTGTTAGGTGACACAAATGTTTGTGCCATCTATCCAGTTGTACAGCCTGCGATCAAAAGTTCTTGTACAATGGCGAATTTTCCGACCCCGAACAACGATAACGATCTGCTATAACAGCGATGGTGGCAGACCGCCCCCCGGGCGATAATATTTATTTTCAATCTTAGGACTTGCACCGAAACCTTCCACGTGCATTTGTCTTCTTTCTAGAATGCGGCTTGGATTGCAATGCATGCGGAACACATTCTTCCTGCCGTGAAGGCCGCTCGAAGTACGTCTGGAGAGGTTTCCACAAGAGCATCATCGGTATAAAATCTTACAAAACTTAGAAATGAGAGAATATTTTCCTAGCTATCTGGCAGCACCATCCTAGTCGTAGAGGAAACATCTGTGATGGTACAAAGCATCAGCACATATTGTGTCACTGCTCTCTCAATTAAAAATGAAATACTGGAAAGTTCACAAAATTCACCGATTCACCTATTGTCGAAAATAGTCGGGGAAGCAAGACGACCTACTGACCAAGATCTAAGCTCTATTGAACCGCTTTGAGATTGAGATGGATAGGATCTAGCTTTAAGAACGCAACTCTCTTTGAGAAAGGTCGCTTTCGCAGCCAAGAATTGGTGGTCGCTGATATCACCATACGGGAGTTAAGGTGCTGGGAAATGTTTAGGAAAATCAGAAGCTTCCTACAATTACGTACGACAGTCGACTAACAAAATCAGCAGGCAGCACGCGGAGGTATTGATTTCGACCGCGGTAGTCGCGAATTGCACGAAAGCATTAGTAAAAATATTGAAGGATATGCTATAAATTATGTTGAGTATTTGAGTGAAGTTTGGAGGTTTTGACAGCGTGTAAAGTTGTATCGTCCAAAAGTTAAGAGTTGATGATAATTTCTCGATGAGATTGAGCGTCATGCGCAGAGCGACATAATAGCTGAGAGCTAGGATGCGCAAAAGCAATACGCTTATAACACACACAACGTAAATGTTTTGTCGACTGCAGGTAGCTTATTGACACCATCAGCATCTGCGGTCAACAAGTTGAAGTTGCGACGGCATTTCTCTAAGCCAGCAACGATCATGGTTACGGATCCTTTTTCAAAGTTGTTTGTCGATCTGCGGTGCAGTTTTTATAGGCATATGCGTTCAGACCTTCCGTGCACTAAAAAACGTTTCTGTGCGTGGTTTTTTGTGCAATGCAACTGATATCGAAGCTCGAAAATCTTGATACAAAGGCAAATATTTCTAAGTCGCCTTTGATTTTAGAAATAACACAACGCAGTCTCTATTCTCGAATTATTTTCCAGAGTGAACACGATTTGATTCATGTAAATTTAAGCTGAAAGTCAGTTGATCTTGAACGACCACGCTTTGATGCGCCCTGCAGAAGTTGCATGAGCCAAGCACCAACAACTTATTCAGATGCATACACGATATCTTCATATCCTTGAAATGGATATAGCGCCAATAAATTAATAAATTTGACTCCTAAAACCCATTAATGTCACAGAAAAAGATAAAGATCAATGCGTAGTAGTCTTGATCGTACTTTGCGGGTACATGTAGGATGGATGAATTTCAAAGAAGTATTGATGCTTTTGCGACCGGCTGTGTCTTGTACCGCGGTATATATCGATTTATTCGTATCTAATATTTTATAATCACTGCTGGCTCTATACGTGTTGTAAAGACACATTCAGGAACTTGAGGTCCAACAATAAAGACTAAATTTAACAATAATCAATGTGCGACGAACATTTTGATTTGATCGACCACAAATCTTGTGGCTTTTTTTTATCTATCTGTCAGATAAAGCCCATGAGAAAAAGTATCCAAAGTTGCATATACAGGAGCTCTATCATTTTATACGCGTGGTTTGGTCACTACGGATCCAGAGATATCGGCTATAGATAGTCCCAATTAGCTGTAACATTGTACTTCTAATCCAAAAAAGCCCATGTAAATTTGACTACCAAACTCCTACTGAAATGGACACGCTGGCTAAGGTGCCGCCGTATGTAGTGTAATTTGACTCGTTAGCAAGTTTGCATGTGCGCACCGATGTGCTTACCCACTCATGATTGGTGAGTCATCAATACATAGCGCTCAATGCAAGTTGTTTGTTTTTTTCTTTTGAGGTGGCCACTTAAAGGGTATCACATGCCTCGTACATTTTCCGATTTTCATGACTCTCATCGTAAGTCGTCACTACACACAGATTGTCATGTGAGTCAGTGCTGTAATGCAGCAAGGTTAAAATAAGTTAATACTCGCGCGGTTTAATACAGGGATATCCATTTTTTGCGCTCTTGGCTTGCCATTTCCTTACAGCGCAACGCATACTCCGTCTGACCCGCACGCTGTACGTATCGCTTCATCGATTGGCGTTGTAACCATTATGACATGTGACAAGTTATAGCTGGAACGGTACGACATATAATTCACCATATTTAGCTGATTCTGCTTGTACCTTGCCTCAGAGGTGTGCTAAGTACAATAGGATAAACATGTTTTTTATTTGAGTTGTAGTGACGACGTCGTTGTGTACAATGGCGCCTGCTTTTCTTGATTACAACCGGCGTATAGCCAAGAAGATGCATTCCTAGGGTTATTAGTTTATTTCTGTTTATTGCAACGATCAAAGCGCCTAGTAAACACGGAAGATGCAACATCGATTTAATTGTGTGGCATTCTTGACAGGCACAATCTGATGTATCTTCTACAAGATTACTGGAACCTATACCAGATCGGCGAAATGTACAATATTATTGTGCGATTAGCGACCATTTAACGATTAAATGGTGGTTTGGCCTGAGAGTTGTATTGTAATCGTTTAAGTAGTTGGTCAGGCCAAACCTATATCGGGGTTGGAGGCACTAACAATACTCCAACGGCTATTTATTCTGCTAGATCTGCCCGTAAGCTATGCTACCCAGAAAATAATTATTTAAGGGATCTTCATTACAGCCAAGACACATTATATTTGCAAATATTTTATCTGAGCGCGTTCGCCTGAGCACCGCTCACAGGCGGTCTATGTTTCTCCTTACGTCCGACTTCCCGCGCTCTGTACGGCTGTGGAGAGCTTGATCGTCGTGATAGATGTAATGCAGGGTGGTCACCGTACAATTTGGAATAATGCTCGTGCGCTCGACAGTCTTTGTGGCATAGGCAGCCACCACATAGAGTCCCATCCGAAGTACGAACCCTAGTGTGAGTGATATTGCTCTGTTCGACAAAACCTGATAAAATTTACCAACTGGACCAAGGACTTGACCAAAGGCAGCCAGATAACTTTTCAGCGGCACATTCTCTACTGAACCCGGAGTTTGCGCCGAAATTGCGACTGAAAAAACCTTTCATAAGCACAACCCATTCATTATCCTTTCTGACTCAGAATTTCGGAGTAGAAGGCTGTACCAGTCGACTGTGCTTTCACACTAGCTCGTTGGTATGGGTTAATTTTTTGTGAAGCAATCTCTGAAGCATTGTCCAAGTTGATTTCATGACTCACTCTTTATCTGGGGTGATACACGTTGTGCGTCACGCCGTACTGCATAGCTTCTTCGCTCCTACCAACCTGTCCATTGCAATAAGTATACCGGCTTATTATTCCTTTCACATATCCCCATCAAACAAGATATCCAGCCGTGTGAGAGATAGTTGGGGAAAAATGACCCATGAGACTACCCCGGTTGCTCCGTTCATAAGTAGAAAATGTTTCTTTCCAGCAACGAGTAGAGCTTCACTGCTTCGCACGGTGGGATCATCTCACGGTGGTTCTGACTCTACAGTATCGGGATATAAAGCATAAATTTTTCCTGTGATCATGATATTCAAACGCTTCTATTGCGACTTTTAGCCCTGTGACCCCTTTCGTTCTATCATGAGGATCAGCGACACCCAGTCGCTTCGACTCTCCATAGGCCCTGGCACAGGAGATCTCATCGCGCAGCTGGTCTTATCCGCAATCCACGCTGAGGATCACGATATACAGTCGTTATCGTCTATTTTGACACACGACTCTGGTTCGCTGCTTAACCTTATCAAAATCTACTCGGAACACATAGTGAAACTACTGCGAGCTAGTTCAAAAATATAATATCCTATTTTTCAAGCGCCAAAAGTGATTTTTCTTCTTGGCAGAGGTGGTTTATCGACTATCCCGAGCATCAACACCAAGATTATTCGTGACACCTAACATTTTTGTCATCTAGTCGATCCGTCAGTTGTGGTGTTCAAGCAAAGCCATACCTGAATTGTGATCATATCTAAATATCTGGACCAGAACAATGCGATATTTCACGCTCTCGGCGTCCTCAGACTTGACTGGAATACTAAACATCGTGGGTGTGTCTCTATTGTAAGACGCACAAATTTGGTATCGGTATTTGAAATTGTTATTGCCGCCGCGTACTATATACTGTTTCGACATTCGCGTATCTTACGCAATTGAACGGCGTTTTGGAAGGAATCAAAACGGTTCAGATCTTCCCAAAGAGCGGGGTGGGCGATATCAACAATCAGGAAACTTGGTATGTCAATTCCACAACTCCTCGACATAGCCACTCATTTAGGCCCATTGCCACGACCTACACTAATCACAAAAGAGCTCAAGTCTTTCCAGTAGACCATAGGCGCTGCTGGGAGTCGACGTTTCTCCGCGAGGTATTTGACATATGTTAATGCGTAGGAGCCCAACTCTGAGTACTCACTAGCCGAAAGCAAGGAGACACGCAAGGTGCAGATTTTAAGTGCATTCACGAAAAGAGCTGCTACGAGTATTTGGTAGCTAGAAGTCTCTCTATTTCTCTTCAGCATGGCTAAGGTGCTCATAAAACTTCTAGGACTCCATCCGTCCTACACATTCGATACAAAAAAAATCATTTTTAATGAGGTAGAGTGGACATTGAGCCCCCGCTT